CTAGACAAAACGGGTTTTAACAAAGACATTCAGTATAAACTAGTTTCAACTAGTTAAAACGCGTTCTAACTAAAAACGGGTTTTGACTGTAACATATAAGTTACATAAAAATTTAATATATATAAGTAATTCTCAATAATTGTAAATGAAACATACTATTTTTATTGTCTATCCCTCTATTTATGTCTATTGTGAATTGTCTAATTAAAGTGCAATTAGACAATTCACAATAGTAGTCCATTATACTGTACATTGTTATATTGCTTTATACCTTAAAAATAATATACAGTAAGATTATAATATTTAGAATCAACTTTTGACATAGCCTAAGTGTTCAAATCTATTTTATTTTATTATTATATCTTACGTTTCTCAGAAAATGTATCCATTACACATGTTCCGAATAATATATAATCTTCGAAGGTAAACACAGCAAAAAGTTAATAATTAAACTGGAAGAATTGTAAACAATTAACTATGATAAAAGTTTGTATTAAATTGTACTTACATTTTTTTCTACGAAAGTAAAAAAATCTGTATTTTGCAGCTTTTGAAACATTTCTCTTTCTAGATGTCCTCTCACCTAGAAAATCAGAAATGTACAGTTATTATATTAAATACAACAAGCTTCAATTCTTTAAATTCAGTGTTCTTTTTAAAACTTAAACATTTCATAATCTGGTTAATTTCCTAATGAAAAACGAAAGATTTGAATTTCAGTTCGATAAGTTTTATTGTTTAAATGATTTATTTGAATATTATATTCTTTAATGCAATACACATTTCTTGAAGAATTACTTACCGTTGTATTATGTAAGCCTATCCAAATCACAAGTGCAGCAGCAGCACCCAGCAACAGAAGGAATATCATCACTGTACTAAACTGAAAGAGAATAGAAAATAACGAATTAGCATAGTTTCTAAACATAACACATTCAAACAATCCAACAACAAGTTGCTTAACTTTCCCCGGCAAGACATGGTAGTGCCCTCTTTTATGACTTTATTTTAAAAACTTGTTATATTTTTAACTATTATAAAATGGCAAAAAGCTTAATTTTGAGGGTAGGGACGGGTTTCATTAAAATTGTAAATGCTAATAACGAGTAAAATCGTCATTAAGAATGAACCTATTGGAGATACACACCAGCCCCTTTATCTCCCCACCCCCTCAATCTTTAATCATCAAAATTTAGTTAGATCAATTCCCTTAATACACTAACCTTCCTGCAAAATTTGAAACATTTCCGACAAATGCCATAGGCGTTATTAAGTTGAAAACAGGGTGAACAAAATCGTGCCATATACACATACATCTATCTATACAAACGTACTGAAAATAAATCCTGGATGTTTTTTCATTCCTCGATGTTTCAAGGTGTCCTGACCCAAAGATGTAAGAATCTGGGGGATCATTTTTTGATCGATCGCTATACTTTCCGTCTGTTATATTTAACAGCCGGGAAAGTAAAATGATAGTTAAAAATATTATATCAATACATAAAATGTATAAAATCAATAAATAAATATATCGATACATTTTATACATTAGAAATTTTTATAATTAGTGCATTTACAAAATTAGTTTAAAAGATTTTAGTATTCAAATCTTGTTATATAAAATTTCAGTTTAAGAAGAACAAATTAAATTTTAATGTATCAATACAGGAAAGAAAAAGAAAGATAAACTTCTTCGCTGTAAGGACTAACTTGTAGAAAATAAGAGAGATAAAATTATTCTGCTGTAAGTGCATAAATCATAATAATGATAGAAAACAAAATAGCTTTCTAGAAAATTTTTAGACATACGTATACAGAACTTCATTTTTTAATTTCTAATGGATAAAGGAACTAAATCGAAAAATGATAATTAGTACGTAGTGGAACGATACATCCGGTCATTTTCCACGAATACGAAGATGGTTACTATATTAATTTTCAACAAAAACGTTTCAAGTGTTCAAACAAACAACAACAACAACGATAAAGTTTTCAAATGATTATTGTGAGCATAGATATGTCCCAAATAATAGCTATCACTCAAGTAAAATTTGGGAATCGTCATAAGGAAAACTTTGTTCTTTTAAAATTCTTTGGAACAGATACCAACATATTAACATCAGATAATAAAGGAATATTGTAAATTTATCATCTCATTTATTTTTGCTTCTGCTTGTTGATTTTATTAGCATTATCTGTGCGAACATCGGTTTTATTTTCTGTTAGCTCGGCGTAATTAAAATGGGGAAATGTCCTCGAATGTTTTCTACAACCGAGAACACGTTTATATTCGTGGAATTAGTGCCCATCTATACAATTACAAGACATACTTAAACCACTTTTAAACAATATAAAATATTTTCTAAATTCTTTATCGCTTGTAATATCAAAATCAATTTATTCTAATCTTTCGAAACAGTTTTTACAAAGAAAAATGAACGTTACATGATGCCTTTTTACCGATTCATTAGGCTATATTCACACAAGTTGAAAGTTTTGTTACCGACTAAAGTAGTCCAGTTTCAGTGTTTTATCTACTTAACTAAATTAACTGATGAAGCGAACAAACGAATCAATTAATGCAAAGCCTATTCGTATCTTCACGAAAGTGTTTTCAAACTTTGTAGTACGATTCGAGTTTAAATAACCAAATTACATTTTATATAAATTCATATTTCCACTCTATTTCTACCGCTCGGCTCCTCTCCAAATTTGACCAGCCCATTAATTACAGATCCTACCCAAATTGAAACTGTGATGAGTGACAGTTTTTATAAAATTTTCGAAATAGTTGTTTCGGAAAATTAAAGAAAATACTTATATTTTTTTTAGTTACAGGAATAAAAGTCCTTAATTATTATAAAATTTTTAATACTTTATATTCTTCGGAAAAGTAAAAAATTGTAAGATAAAAGTTGCTGTAATATTTGTAATTGAAAATTACAAATTTCTTTAGTTTCATTTTAAAAATACACATGCGTAGATATACCAACATATAAATACCCATACGCATACGTGTTTCTTAAAATTGAAATTGTCGGAAATTGATTTCTACATCATCCTTTCATCACATGTAAATACTGTACAATTTAAAAAACTACGCAATAAAAATATCAAAATACATGCGTAATTTTATACATGTAAGAAATTTTATATTAAAATATTTATAGCTACTCTATTTATTCCCTTTTTTTAAAACCACACTTCAGTATTACACTAGAACCGATCAAAAGTTTAAGGTCAGAAATTAACAAATATTTCAATAGTTTTAAACATATTACAGTATTGATTATCAGAAACTTTTTATTTCTATCTTTATTGTGAAAAGAAATAATCGGAATTACGAAAGTATGAAAATATCCGTTCTTGCCTTATGTTGTTTTACATAAATTGTTTAATAATATAAATATGTAAAGTATTTCATAAAAGAACAATAGGAAACAAACAGTTTTTTTTATTACTTGTAATTTTTCTGCGAATATCTGGGGGAAATAAAAAAAATCACAAACGACAATAAAAATCAATTAATACAATAGAATTATCAATATTTAATCGACATTTATTTATTATATTATTATTTATTACTTTAAACTAACTTTTTACACCTGCGGGCCGGCGGAAAGCTAAAGATAAATTTTTTTTCCACTTAAACTGTCCATAACGAGTACAGTACTGATTAAGACAGAAATAAAAACAATTGTACGACAATAATAATAAATAAAAAGTACTTTCTAAAATTACAATTTTTAGTGGCATCTTCTGCTGCTTGTTTCTTACAAAATTTGATAGGACTGACTGTATCGTAGCGTTGTTTCAGAAGTGCTAAGTGCTGCTTTAATTAACATCCATCCTATTTCTTTGTTTACTTTTTATTATTGACATTACTGAAAATGTTTTTTCACAAAAATACGAGGTAGAAAAAATTATCAACAATTTCATTGCTTTATAACTCAAAGTTGGATATTCTCTTTTAAATGATAGCCAAAATTCAGACAATGATTGCATTTTATGTCTGGACACCAGAGTGACATCAGAGACAATTCATTCGATCAACTTTTCTTTTTGACGAGGTTCAAGTGAGCATGATTTTATATCTTACGAAAAAGGATTATTAATACAGAGGTTACCGTTACGAGAATCCTCATTTTCAGGAAAATAATTATTAAAGTTTTCAGGTAACGCTCTTAAATGCTGACTTATTATTTCGAATATGACTTTCTGTTTGACATCAGCAGCAATAAAAGATTCTCCCGAAAGTGCTCCCAAAAGAAATATAAAGGTGTTCATTACAGCATTAATTTTATTAATTTTAAAAATATAATTTTTTGATGACAATACTGTCTCTAATATAAAAAAAAATCATTGTTATTTTAGCAAAACAATTTATCAGTTTTTTAAATTTTTATTATGACNTTATTTTAGCAAAACAATTTATCAGTTTTTTAAATTTTTATTATGACAATAATTTAAATTGTAAGCCTAATAAAAGTAAACTTTTCGTTTTCATTTCGTTGTTATTAGAACTTTAATAATTCCAAATTTGTCGCTTTAAATAAAATAAGTATAAATCATGAACAATAAATAATGGTAACCTGGTATTAGGAATCAACTGTGATTATATGAATTGGATTAATTCTCGACATTCTACAGGACAAGATTTTGGATATCAAGTGATATGTTAAGAATCACAATATATGTCTTTAAAATTTCGATCTGACAGATATACTAATTGATATCGTCCAATGCAAACGCTATTGGTAACCTCATCTTTAAACAAAAAGTTCGAACAGGTGAAAGCGGAAGCTACTTCTAGCGCCATCACTTTCCTATTCCAACGCATAAGTCGCTCATCGTTCAGCAGATCCAAGTTGTTACGTAACAGCTACCGATTTGGTCAGTTACAACAATTAGTCTGCTGAATGCAGCCAATGAAACAAAGTTTTAAATAACCCTTCTCGTAATGCGTAACAAAATTACCTATTTTTCCGTTTGGTTTGTATTACATATTCCGAAGTATCAACATACAGTATTTCTTTTTCTTCGTTTCTTCTAATCTTGCAGTACTTGGCATACTTTCAGTATCATCATTACTTTTCACTTGAATATTGTCCTTGTCTCTTCTTACGAATGTTTAAAGGTTTTGCTGTTTGACTCTTTCTTCATTTTGTGAGGTTTAAAATTTTACAAAAGAAATACCGCAACAATACGAAGTAATAAAAAAGATAGCATGCACAATCGCAATAAAATAAGTTTTTCTACATATCAGCAATAAGCGAGTGATGCAATACTACAACACCTTTAAGTGTAGCAGGGGTGTAAAGGTTGGGAAAATTATCACGAGACTGACTTCATTTGATAACTGTCGTGCATAAACTTAAGTACAGTGGGTGATCGGTTGATCGTTAAGTTACACTGTACTTAACGAACACTTTCGCGAAAGATTTTTATGATCGGATAACGAACACTTCATGAACAAACATAAAAAGAAGTGACGAAAATAGCAAATACCGATTGATTTTCCCTTGTCTTCAGGCAACAATTCGAAGCTTTTCGGAGCGCTGGAGACGTCGACATCGACGCTCAACCCGAATTATACTCATCAGATAGTATTCCTCCGAACTTTGAAACTCTCCCTTGTAATTCCAGCCTTTTATTTTTCTGACAGAAACAATTCTTTTATAGTATTCGCGAGACTATCGGGCGGCACTCGTTAACTTTTGCGTCGAGTTTTATTTTCAAAAAGTAAAATAGCAAAGGTAGAGAGTGGGCAGAAGATGTCTGATGTTGCTGGGCAGTATGGTTAAACAAAACTACAGTATTTTAACGCAGTTTAATCTTATCTAATAAACATACAGTATAATCAAGAAGACTTAAGCAGCTAAAATCACTTCTGAGAAATAAAGAACATTGAAGAGCACATAATGGAACCCAAAACGGATCTGACGACAGAAGAACACCAAGAAACTCAATGAAATATGTTTTATTATGAAAAAGAGGATTAATGTCGATATTTGCTATTAATTAAAGATCTTTAGAAGAATGGGGGTTGT